GTCGCGAGAGTACAAAGGGGAGCGATTCACAACCTTCACCGTTTCGCCCCGACGCACGAACAGTACTTGGAGTCTGAAGGTAAATGCGGTAATAATCGAAGATCTCCCAAGACACATTTACTCGGACCCAATACTAGAAGACCTCACGAGATGCTTTACAAATTACGCCCTTTCTGACCCTGATCCCCAAGGAAATAGTGCAATCGATGTGGAACTGGAAGCGGACACGTACTCCGCCATAAGGAAAGATGGGTGTACAGCAGCTGGAATTGGAGATGTCCTGGCCTACAACACACAACTGGGCTACGTGTTTGCTGGGCCAATCAAGAACATGCCGAGGAAGTGAAAACCGAGGATCCTTATGGTATATTACAAATGAATACTTACACTTGTCATTCGGGGCCCAGAAAATGTTCATAAAATTGCTATAATTTTGCCCAACACTGTTGGTTGAGTATTTACCGCCGGCCGCATAAATGGCATCATAACAAAATGATGTAAATAATGTAAATACATACACATACACACATACACCTAAGTCTGTTTTTACACGGTTTTTTTGTACACGGTTTTGATATAACACGGTTTGAAATTTTGAATATTTTTAATTTTTTACACGATTTTATTCCATTTAGCACGATTTGAAATTTTATGTACTTAAATTTTTTTTGTCAAATTTAATTTTTGCGATAGTATCGATAGTTTGCGAACTCTAGCTTAAAGATTTAAGCGAATTCCCCTTTAGCGCGTACAAACAATTTTTACTGGTCAAAGAAAATGTGAATAGCACTAATTTAGGGGAATTCCCTTTATGTGCATACAATAAAATTTACTGGTCAGAGCAATTGAAACGTGTTAATATTTTGTGAACTGTCAATGGAATAAGACGTGTTTAGTAAAGGAAAAAATAAAAAAATTAAAAATTCTTGTTTTTCGCTAATTTTAATAGGTTTTAGAGATTATGAACAAATCACCCATTTTTGCATAAGATCAATGTCTTTTTTTACACGGTTTTATTTTTACACGGCTCCTTCTGGAACCAATCTACCGTGTAAAAACAGACTTAGGTGTACATTTATGCAGCCATCGGTAAATTCCAATGCTGAATTCTAGTAACTAAGCATCGTCAACAGCCATGTGATGTGGCGATGCAAATTGGACAATAGTTAGTTCTTTTTCAATTACCTTCGCGAGCGCAAGTTTCCCCCCCGAGTGACAAGTGTCTGTGCAAAAACAAAAGAGAAAAAAAAACTAACAACATTTATATATTACAAAAACCAGTGAACATTGAAATACAACAAAAGGTATCAAAATTACAAAAAACAGAATATTACAAAATTATCTATATTAAACAAAAACTTTCTACAACATACAATATACAACAAAAGGGTGAACAAATTGTACAAAAAGACTAATTGTGAAACTAATTGCTAAAACTTACTTGCTAACTTAAAACTTATAATTAAGATAAAACTTAAAACCTATTGAATTACAAACTACATATAATTATCTAAATAAAGCAAAACTTATGAACTAGTGAAAACTTAAAACTATTTTAAATAAATTGCACTGCCCCAAAATACAAATAAAATATCTAAAAATTAAACAAAAAATATTTCTTATAATTCAAGAAGGCTTAAGGCAATAAAGGTAAGCCTAAATACACATTGATAATATTTTACTTATTTAATTAAAATTAAAGAATTTGCGGTCATTTCTCCAACAGGGTTTCAATCATCACCATTAATTGGGAATAACGGAAAAATGCCGTCAAAAGCTCGACATTTTAAAGCGAAAATTAATATATATTTATTCGAAAAATTATTAAATAATAATTATACCTTAACCCCATTGTGGGATGGGTATTATATCTCTGTGCATTTGTTTTTAACATGGAGAAGGTACCGAGATAGACCCAGGAGGATCTTCATAGAATCCGTCGATGTATTCTAGTGAACTAAATGCAGGTCGCATTTACTATCCGATTGAGATGACATTTTACAAACAATTTTTGTTTGGCCCTAGGACGACCCCATTGAAATTGGTGATCACGGTTCAGATTTAGACATAGCTCCCATATATCTTCAACCGATTTCGCGTTAGTTGTGCATCAAATGGCTAATATAAGTCAAAATGACCTGTATTTTGGTACATTCCGCCGAATTCAGACTAGAAACAAGTAAATCAAATATAGCTATAGCTCTCATATATATGTTTCATCCAGAAGAATGATATTTGGTACCGGACATCAGATTCTGCTCCAAAATACTTCTGTCAAAATACACAGTGTTGTGACGGATTATCACAAAAAAGTGCATGGAATTAATATAAAAAGACGAAGATAATCGTCTTAAAAACAGAACAGAACCAGCAATAAAACGCATCCGTGACGGATCATCACGACACGAAAATAGGCAGAATCGGCAACAATGGACATCTGTGACGGGTTATCACTCTTCAAGGAAAAATACTTTTAAGGCCAGTTGAATCCAGACAAGCAGAACCAGCAATAATGTTACTAACAACTATAGTTTGAATATTGTAAGTAAGAAATTTGGATTATTAGCAATTTATTGTGAGAAAAGTGTATGGTGATAAAGCTAGAAACAAGCAATATTCTTAAATATTTGATTATAAAAATAAAATAGAAAAATATTTTTAAGATCCTACATAGAAAAAAATATATTTAATGAATAATTTATAATAAAAGAAAAAAGTAAAAACTTATATTGTGAACAAAGATACAATAATTTAACCGTGTTTTTTCAAAGAAAAAGAAGAAATAGATAATTTTTGAAATAATTTACCTATTAAATATTAGTTAAGTAATTATATTAAAATATAAACACATATATTTCGATAATATTAAATAATTTTCCGTTCTAAAGAAAAGAATTTATTGATTTAATAGATTTATTTAAGAAATAAAAAATAAGTATGTGTGTAAATTTCGTTCTTATACTATCCCAAGAATCCCTACTCCTATCCAGTAATCTGAAACCGATATGAGTATTAGTCGAAATAGTGGTGTAATGAATTCTACAAACAGTTCACCTTCGACAGAAAGAAATATACTGGATGCCTTATAAATCCCAGATGTCCGAAATTTGACGAAAATCCTAGATTGCTATATGATTTCATAAGGAATATGGGGGAAATAATTACAAAATATTTATAAAAGTAAAAAAATAACAAATATAAAAATTGACATTTATATTTTTATATATATGTTTATATCAATGAATGAGCAAGTATGGTCCCCAACCATTATATATACGAACAGTTTACATCAAATAAATTTGTTTTTAACTTGAATAAATTGTTAGAATGAGAGAAAACACGTAGCTCTAATGGTAAAACATTCCAGTTACGCGCAACTCGAACCAGAAATGATCGACCGAATAAGTTTCATCATATTCTAGGAATAAATATTTGCGTGTTCTTGGACGAATGAGAGAAGCAAAAATCATTATAGAATGATACTGGTTTTGAATTTTTTATAATTTTATGAAATAGGGACAAGCACCGAAAATTTACATATTTATTGAATGTACATCCGAGAAATCTCATGACATAGCTCATGATTTCTAATAGGAACCTTATAAACGAACCGTTCTATAGAATTGACAAGCCGCTTTAACTTATTTAAGTGAAACCCCAGAGTACCTGTAACAATTTCAAACCAATAGTTTACCTGACACATTAGCAAAGTATGACCAATTTTATACTTGATGTGGAAGGGTAAATATAAATTGAACAATAAATTTTACGTAATAAAGAAACAATTTTACCAGATAAAGCGTCAATGTGGTGTCTAAAAGATAGTTCACTGTCAATTACTATCCCGATACATGTATGTCGATCAAGTATCTGTATTCTATGATGTTGTATATATAGGTCAATATCCGGGTAAGTACGATTTGAGGAACGAAACAAAACTGCTTTGCTCTTTGATGGATTAATAGATAAGGAAATGAGATTCGTCCACAGCTAAATATTAAGAAGACAGTCATTAATGATGTCCTGAAATGATCCAGGCAAAGCAAGGCAACCACTAAAAAGAAGAAAGATATCATCAGCGAACATAAAAGTATCACAACCATTAATATTTGTGTGCCTAGGCAGGTAATTTGCATAAAGGATAAATAGCAGGGGTCCCAAAACAGATCCTTGGGGAACACCCGAAAAGATAGGCAAAAAATCAGATTGAAGTCCATTTAAGGTGACATATTGAGATCTTCCAGTCAGGTAAGAATAAATAAGTTTACAGGCGGAATGACAGAAACCAAATTGCTGGTTTAACTTAGATATCCATCTGTTATAGTTTATTGAATTAAACGCCTTAGATAAATCCAGGGAAACAAGCATGCTAAGCTTGCCAACATTTGTATTTTCGTGAACTCTGTCCGTAAGCTTTAAAAGTAAGTGCGTTGTGCTGTGTCCAGACCTAAAGGCATATTGTGAGTTGCAGATCATGTTTGAAGAGTATTGAATTATTTGTTTTTTAATAATATGTCCAACAAGTTTAGAAAAAGACAGTAGAATGGAAATTGGTCGAAAGTCCACTAACATTTTTGGTTTTCGGAATTGGTACAACATTCATTAAAATGTTGTTAACTAAATCTGTTATAACATTTGACACGTAAGGAAAAACTATTTTAATGAATGAAATTGGAATACAATCTATTCCTACAGATTTTGACTTTACCTTATACAATGCTTCAAGAATATCAATTTCATTCACACTTGAAAAGGAAAACTGATTGGCGGAATCCAAAAAGTTCTCAACACCAAACATCTCATCGGAAGAATCACAATCACCAACAAAATAAGCATTTAATATATTCGGGTCAAAATCAAATTCAGTATTATTGCTACCAACACACACGGACTTCCTTAAAATTCTCCACATGCCAGATGTATCTACACCGTTAAACAGTTTCGAAAAGTGTTTTCTGCGCACTCTTCTCATGACATTTTTTGCATTTCATAAAGTCTATTTAACATGTTAGAATGTGAAAACATTTCAGATCAGCATTTACAGCATTGAAAACATTACCAAAATCATATTCATCGAAGAAAGAAAACATGCCTGTCCAATCAATTTTATCGTAATTACGATACTCCACAATTACATCTTGGCGTTTATAGCTAAAAGAAAAAGAGGCAAATATTAAAGAATGATCTAAAATTGTGGGACTTTGTACTTGATCAGAGAATTTAAAGGAAGATAAATCAGTACATAACATAAAATCGATTAGAGACATAGCTCTTCTTCTCAAGTCCAAATGCGTTGGCTTAGAATTATGAACAATGGAAAGATTGAAACGAGATCGAAATGAATCGGATCTAAATACATTAAATAAATTGTAATTAAAGTCACCAACAGTAATGATGTTAGGCAGATAAAAAAGTAATCCCGGTGGTAAAACTCAAAATCATCTATGCTACCCGATGGTAGGTAAACTACGCCGAAGGAAATCGTTGCATTATTCAGTTGTAATTGAACAAAAAGGGACTCACAATTCGGCTCAGATACCGCAAGAGTACGTTTAAAGGAAAGACCATTTGAAATATAAATAGCGACACCGCCACCCTTATTGGGTATAGAGCGATCTTTGCGAATTAGTTTGTATCCGGGGATAGTTACAACAGAATCAGGAATGTCAGGTGAAAGCCATGTTTCGGAAACAGCAACTAAATCTAAAACATTGTCACTTATAATAGACCTTAATTCATCCAAAAGTAGGCTTAATACTCCTACAGTTCCAATGACCTATTTTTAATTGGTTTTGGATTTGATTTTAAATATGCACTACTGCTAACAATAGGTCCCAAGTTGTCATTAAAAGACATCAAAATATTTGTAAAAAGGAATGGTGGGGAACCAGAAGTAATATATTATTAAAAAAGATTTTAATTCAAATATATATAAAAACAATAACATTTATAATTCATTCAACTTAACAGCTGATCATAAAAATAATGAGATCATAATAATGATATGGCAATTACTATATAACGATAAATGTCACTGAAGAGGTAATTATTCAGATTGTTGCAATAATGAAAGACAGAGGTTTGTATCCCTTTTGGTCTTAATGCCATTGGGGTCCGTTATTTCAACCAGTACAGAGTCTCGATTCAGAATTCTAAACTTGGAAATAATATTCAATCTGCGAAGATTGCTACATATCAAGCTAAGATTAGCAGCCACTGGAGTGTACTGGTCATTTAGAAATAGGCGGCTAATAACATCGCAACCAGCCCATCCTTGATGACATCACACACATGCAATGAACGAGTCTTGAAATATTGCCTCATTATCTCATCACGAAGAGCTACACTATTCAATTTAACAAGTAATTGCTTTCTTCCATGAATATAACAGATGTGGTTTATATCACTTTTGTTCAAGTTAATGTTATAGAATTTAGCAATTGAAATGACATGGGAAATAAGATCTTGAAGCCCATCAGGCAATCCACCAATAAAAAAATCACCACGGTTGATACGTCTATGTAGGATATTATTTTCAGCTTCTAATTTTGTTATTTTGGAACTTGTTGACTCCTCGACATTATGTATGCGTTCATTGCATTAAGTGATGTCAGCCTTGATCTCCAACAAGCAAGAACCCAAGTCAGATTTCATACTTTCAATAGCACATTTAATGGCACTTATTTCAGATTGGTGGACACCCACAAATGAGTCAAGTTGCTTTTTAACATTTCGAATATCCTGAGCAACAAAATTATTTTCACGTATATTACTGAGATTATTTTTGCATGATGAGCAGATAAAGGAGGCAGCACTAAAAGACTTAATGACAAATCATTATCAGAAAGCTTCGCACACAACGAATGGATCCACTTATAGCATATTGTACATTCAGTGCTTTCAGTTGCTCTATTGGTTTTGGAAGGCGGCATTTTCTACAACAAGAGCAGGCACACTAACAAAATATTCACAGCAACGGTACCCATCAACAAATGTCAAAAACGGAAGAAAATGTTGTAACACCACAGCAAACGAGTTAAGCAGTATTTTGAGTATTTTTGCTTGAAATGTTCACCAAAATTTTATTTGTTTCGACAACACGTTAAATTCCAAAGATATTTATGCCAAAACAATTTTATGAAACAACAAGATAGTAAGTAATTGAGCAAACGATCCGCCGCGAATAAAAAACACTTTTTCTCAGACATAGAGTTGCCAAAGTTTTTTTTTTAAGGTCTATACGTAAGAAAGTCGAAGGAGAAGCAAATGAGATTTTTGATATGTATGGCACAGACTTGAGCTGGTAGAGCATTAAAGACAATCTCATATTGCATTACTCTGATAAACGAAATGAGATTCGAGACTTACACCTCCTGAAACAAAATAAAAAGACACTAGAGGGGTTTTATAGTTCAGTTGTAGAGATATAAGCTATAATGAACAATAATCTGATGATACATGAGGTAGATGCCAACATAATAAAAGCTAAACGAGATTTATTTGAGAGAGAGCAATTAATCGCAAGGAGTTGCTGCAACCATTTGTCTTTTAAATCAAACTTAACTTCCGATAAAATACTCATATCACCAAAAACTAAAACCATTATTAAAATTCCTGTAGATTTAGAACATGACGTTTTCTTAATCCCCACAATTTCAATTAACCCAGAAATAACCATTTTGCCGGGTATTACAGGGCTAAAACTGGTACAGCTTCATTGAAAAAAATATAATATAAGTCAAACTCGGACAAAACAATTTTAATCGAAAATCCAATTAAAGTAGATCCAATAAAAAATGCATATTATGTAGAAATTAGTAATATTAGCTTCGAACATATTCCTGAATATCAAAGCCCTCAGTTACTGCACAATCTTAGAATTGATCATTTGAATATAGAGGAACAGAAGGTTATCACAAAACTATGTAAAAAGTTTGAAGATATTTTTCTTCAAGATAATCAGTCCCTTACCTTTACCAATAAAAGCAAATAAAACATTGTCACAAGAGACGACATTCCTATTTGCAATCATATAGATACCCCCACAGCCACAAAGCGGGAGTAAAAAAAATTTCAGACATGTCAAATCAGGGTATCAAACGGGAAAGCTACTCACCTTGGAGTGCACCTGTTTGGATAGTCCAAAAAAAAAATCGGACGCGAGAAGGAAAACAAAGGGGCGTTTAATTATTGATTTTAGGAAACTAAACGATGAAACAATATCAGATAGATACCGAATGCCAAACATAAATGAAATACTGGACGAACTTGGCAAGTGTTTGTATTTCACTACATTGGACATTTCTAGCGGATCCCATCAAATAGAAATGAATTTGTGAGAATGCCATTCGGCTTAAAATGTGTACCATCAACATTTCAAAGGGTGTTGGATTGCGTTCTTAAAGATTTATTAGGAACAGTGTGTCTTGTCTATTTAGACGACATCATTGTATATTCCACCTCACACCAAGAACATCTAGAAAATTTAAGAAAAGCTGTTGAAGCCCTTAGAGAAGCTAATCTTAAGATTCAACTAGATAAGTCGAATTTTTACATAAGGAATGCGCATTTCTGGCCATTTGTTGAGCACAGAAGGAGTAAAACCAAATCCTGACAAAATAAAGACGATCCAAAACTTTCCTCTTCACACAAAGCAAAAAGAAATAAAGTAATTTTTAGTTCTATTAAGTTACTATAGTAAATGTATTAAGGACTTTGCCAAAATAACAAAGCCATTTACAGCTTGTCTGAAGAAAAACAAAACTGTTATACTCGACGATAACTATAAAAAACTTTTGAAATTTGTAAACAACTCTTTGTAAATGACCAAATCTTACAATATTCAGATTTTTCTTAGCCTTTCAATCTCACGACAGACGCAAGTAATTTTGCGGTAGGAACCATTTTTCGCAAGGACCTATAGGGAACGACAAACCGATGTGCTACGCACGCCGCACACTTACGACACCGGAAATCAATTCTCAACAAAAGAAAAAGAACTCTTAGCCATAATTTGGGCCACCAAATATTTTCGACCATACTTATTTGCTCACTCCTTCAGAATCAAAACAGATCATAAACCAGTCACATGGATTATGAGCCTGAAACAGACAAATTCTAAATTAATAAGATGGCGATTGAAATTAGAGGAATTCGATTATGAAATTATATACAAAAAAGGCAAACTAAATACAAACGCCGATGCCCTTAGTCGAATAAAGACTGACATATCAATTAACCTAAACATAAATGCATTTGATACAATGTCCAATCAAGCCACCTCGGGTAGTACTGTTCACTCTGCCGATGAAAACTGCGATGATGGTATTCCGATTTGGGAAAAAGTAATATATGATTTTAATTTACAAATATTATTTAGGACAGGAAACTCTAATTCTCACATGAAACAAGAAGTAGATTCTAAAAACAAATATAGGTACCCCACACACCCCAATTATACAGAGGAACTTAGAACACACATTTTAAAAAAAATCATCTTGTGCCCAATAAAACCACGGAAATTTTTACAGATAATGAAACTTTTCGCGTTATCAGAATGTATATTCTAAACATTTTGCACAAAGCAAAATTTTTCTTTAGTTAGGTGTACTGAAATAGCAAGGGACATAAAAAACGATAATCAGGATAAAATCATTCAAGATTATCACGAAAACAATAATCACAGAGGCATACAAGAAACCCATGACCACCTAAAACGCGAATATTACTCTCCATACATGAAATCAAAGATAGCTGAAACAATAAATTATTGTATTCCATGCCAAAGACTAAGATAGACATCCTTAAAAGAATCAATTTGAAAAACCTCCAAAACCTGTTAAACCATTAGATAAAATACATATAGACTTTTACACAATTAAGGGCAAAAAAATTATAGATAAATTTTCCAAATTCGCCGCTGCATATACTCTAACAGCGAGAATCAGAAAACATACCTAACAAAATCGTTTGTGACCAGGGAACCGAATTCACTTTAAACTTATTTAAAGACTTTTGTCAGCAATTCCAACAATCTTCTAGCAATGTCCCCGTGAAAAGAACCTATAAAATTAATCGTGAAATAACATTCAACAATGAACAGGAATATCTTTCCAAGAGAAATCAATTTCGAACTGAACTCTAGGAATCTA